CTTCTAAACCAGAGATCTGGACTAGGAAAGTGGCCACCCTGACCCTGACTCGGGTGTTGACGATGGCAGGGCAGGGAGCTGTGCCTATGGGAGCAGATGTGCAATGTTGGGATACACAGGGGCCGAAGGATGCCGGGAGCAGGCTGAGGCCGACATCAGTCTCTCCTACGGAGGCAAGCTCCCTGGATTATGAAAATCGCGAAATTGTGTTGGCACTCAATCTTGAACCTAGAAGTAGGAATCACCTCCCCATCTGTACAGGGCCTAACTCTCTTTCTCTTCCTAGTTCTCAATGGCAAGTCGAGGAAGTAAGGATTGTTGTAGAACCCTAATAAAGCACCAAGGGAACATCCAGTAGTCACACAACTCCAGACCTAGCCACATCCCTGCGCATCCTTCTCCTACAAAACAAGCAGACGTAACCCAAACATTACAGACTCTTATACACTTAAGGTTCTATTTATTTTTACTTTATTTTTTGAGACAGGGTCTCACTGTGTAGCCCTGGCTGTCCTGGAACTCACTCTGTAGATCAGGCTGGCCTTGAACTCACAAAGATCCTCCTGCCTCTGCCTCCCGAGTGCTGGGATAAAGTGCTTGTGCCAGCACACCTGGCCTTATTTTTATGTGTGTGTATATGTCTCTATCTGTGCACATGTATGTGCATGGGGGTTTCTGTGAAGGTCAGGACACAGTGTCAGGTTCCCTGAAGCTAGAGTGATAATAGGTGGCCACGAACCGCCCTACACTAGTGCCTGGAACTGAAGAAAGGTCCTCTGCAACGCTCTTGACCACTGGACCATCCCCCCAGCCCCCTTTACACGCTTTGGGTGGGGTGTTCATTTGCTCAAAACTAAGAAGAGAACAACAAAGCTATGTTGAGATGGGGTGTTGAGCAGCTGGCTTGGCTCACTCACTGGCCAAGGGACACCTCCTCCTCAACCTCAGCACAGCAACAAGCTCATCACAGTCGCTCAACATATGCTAAGCCCGTGAGACACGTGGTGTACTTTATTATTCCCAGCCTACAAATGAGGGCACCGAGAACTTTATTGGAATTTTTTCATCGCATAGTTAAAGAAATGACCCAGTCTGATGATCTGACCCCGAGTCCCACATAATCTCCCCAAATACTGACACTTCCTCAGCCTGGCTGAGCTGTGTTGACCACTATACAAAGGATGGTACTGGGAAAGATTTACCTCTCTTGTGACCCAAATCCAGCAGTGCCTGGCCTGTATCAGGTAACAGGAGCTCTGCATAAAAGCCACCGCATCCGCACACCCCCTAAATGGGTCTATTCATACCAGCAGGCCACCATCTCTGCTCTGATTTGCAATAACCCTTGAGCTAAACCTGATCCCTGGTTCCAAATCGGCTCCAAATGTATTGAAAGCCTGCCGCTCCCCTGCCTGGCACCTGTGGACACCCCTGAACATGGTGAAGTCCTAGTATATGTGTTCTACAGCCTGAACAAAGCAGCTGGATGGCCACTCACTTGTCCCTGTCCTCTAGACCTACACAGACTCTAGCCAATAGACACTGGCTTTGGACTCGGTCCCAGCTCACCAGCACCCTGTGACTTTCCTCCCACACCTGCAGCACCACACACACTATGAAGTGGATGCCCACAGCAGTCCTTGCTGGAGCCGGATCCCTGTCTAGATCTTTCCAGCCTCTGGAAGTCACAGAAACTCTCATGACCCACTACACCCAGGAACAGCCTCAATGGTCCCTAAAGTCACTGCCCCGCCCCTGCTGCTCCTCCTCCCAGTCCTGGGGATGCTCCCTTCAGCTTCCATCTCCTCTCCAAAGCTGGATGCTTCTGGGGACTTCCTGCCAACCCGGCTGGCTAAGCACTCTGGCCTGGCTACCATGGCCAACGTGTTGCAAAACAGTTTCTGGGAATGCAAGGAGGGCTCTGGGGGGCTGCCATACCGCTGCTGGCTCCACTAATAGGCATGGGCTGACCACGGCACTTGACCCTAGAAGTGGCCCCTTGGCTCTCATCAAACCCTTCAGGGTCTCAGAAGGGCTGACATTAGCAGTAAAGGGGTAGAGCGAGACAACACCAGCCAGGAACCGAGGGATAGGCAGAAGAGAAAACACCAGTGGCCCCACACTGAGCGTTTTGTAATAACCTTCCCTGGCTGGCTCCTCGGGGAAGCTGCCAGCCCGTGCATTTTTGCAGAGACAACCTCCCTGCAAGCCTCCCAACTAGCAATCCTGCCTTGACGTCAAACTCCAAGTTGGGGAACTTCAAACACAAACAAACAAGTCTGCCCCAGACCACAAGTGGAGATGTTCCCAAGGAGGCCAACGCCGAGAGTGGCCACAGCTGCGAGCACGGAGCCGATGGCCCTGTCCTCATCTACCAGGACTGAACTCTGTGACCTGATCCCAAGCGGCAAAGGCAAGGGATCTACCCTAGCCTGCTCCCTGGCCTCGCTGGCAGGTGTGACTGCCCACCAAGGCGCAGTGATGGGTGCAAGAGACCACGGCCTCGAAGCGCTCACAAGCCAGCTAGCTTCTCTGTGCAAGTTGCGCTGTCCCCAGATAACATCACAGGCTCTGACCACTCCGAGACCATGCACTGCAGCCAGGAAGTAGAGCAGCGTGGTCCAAAGCACTAGGGGGGCTTGCTGAGGAACTCCAAGTGCAAGCCAGGCAAGGCTGACCGATAGCCAAGGATCCGCGTTCTCAGTGATACCTGCTGGGGCTGTGAGCCTCAGCAAGGTTTGTCTGACCTAAGTATCCTAAGACAGCATCCACCCAAGCAGCCCGGAGTGAGCCAAACACACTGCCCTTCGGAAAGCAGCCTTTGCCTTGCAAAGTCTGTGTGTGATCTGCCTCAAGACTGTTTTTCCAGGGTTTGCTGCCTGCTCCGACTCATCGCTATGACCCCTAAGCCCTACCCACCCTAAGCACACCTACCCTGTGTGCTCTGAGTGCCAGTGCCCCTGAGGTGCCTCAGAGACGAGCTGGACTAAATCAGGAGAGAGCAAACATCCACTTTATACTCAGACTCCCCATCCTGAAGTGACGGCCCAGGGGCGAGAAGAAAAGTGTGTCTATCCATCACTCGGCCATCCAATAGCCAAGAAGAAAAGTGTGTCTATCCATCACTCGGTCATCCAATAGTCAAACTGCATCCTCAGGTACGGTATTTGTCACAGGCAGCATGGTTCCCAGGATCCAGCTGAGACAACAGATGTGTCCACAGGCATGCCTGGCTGGGGAACACAAGAGACAGAGAGGCAGAGAGCAGGCATGCCACCCTCTGAACATCCATGACACAGCAGCCTCAGTGGACACAGGTATGATACCCTCTGAATGGCACTGACAGAGAGGTCCCTGGTGCTTTGTACGTCTGTTGGGAAACTGGGGTGGGGGGGACAACAGGTTAGGGACTACGCACACATCAAGGCCTTCGGACACACCTGTGCTCTGGTTCAAACACCCCCGCACACTTGTCTGGCGTTCATCAGACAAACAGCACAGAGCTTGGTGCCCACACTACGGGAACTCCAAGAGACTGGCCCCACTGTGAGTGAGGTGCAGGCGTGCCTGGGACCTTCACAAGGCATCAGAGGGGAGCCAGGGGTGTGGCATGCACCCAGGGAAATGTGGGGAGGGCATGCCAGGTGGGGGCACTCTGTGAGCAAAGATGAGCATCATAAAAGATTTAAAACTGAGAGGTGGGGGGAGGTAGTCAGAGACTAGAAAGGACCAAGAAGAGAGAGGTTAGGTCAATACTGGTTCACATAGGACATTAGGACGATAGTTGGCCTGTAGGACAATACTGGCCCGTAGAGGTCCTAGAAAGTTCTGGAAACTTCTAGAAGGTCTTGAAAGACCACGGCACCAAAATAGCTGTAACCATGCAGGTATGGGGAGGGAGGCACTAGGAGAAATGTGATCATATTTGCATTTCTGAATGATCATCGTTTTGGAAACCAAGCAGAGAGCAGATTGAAGTGGGTGTGGAGAAACCAGAGACAGGAAAATCAACGAAGAAGACTCTGCGGCGCGGCAAAGAGATGAGAACAAACGGTAATCTAGCTGGTGGCGGCGTGGGTGGAATGAAGGAGCAGATCCAAGAGATGTTTTATTGGCATTTTTACTATAAAGATAAGCCTTCCTTCTTGCTCGTCCCGGGCATTTCTGGCATACCGGCACTCTGGAATGCAGGAAGCTGCAGCGTGCGCCTCACAGCTAATGAGCTAACCACGCGCAGCCCAGCCGGTTGTTTGATTTACTAGAGCCTGGCACTCTGTGTGTGTTGGGGTGGGGAGGCCTTCTGCTGAAGGACCAACCGGGCAGGGCACACCCTGCAAACCCAACAGCCCCGGGTCCCCCCACTTCTGAACACAGCACCCACATCGCCTCCCAGGCAGAGGGGACCTGTGCTTGGCAAAAGTAAAAGCTGTGGTTTCCCAGTGCTCTGGGGGAAGCCAGAGACTGCTCGGATAGCACCTGTGAGCTGCACCAGGCCTGAGGGGACCCTCTCCAGCCAGTGTGTCACTCTGGCTCTGCCCAGTCCTCTTTGCAGAGGGAGAGCATCGTTCCCATCTTAATTGCAAAGGCTAACAGAGTTCACAGCCACACGGAGCATCTCACTTCCACCTGCTACCTGCGGCTTCAGGCAACCAACAGGTTGTCTGACCCTTTTCTTCCTCTGTCTTAAGTGAGGGAAGGGATCCCTGGGCAAACACAATGTCACTGTGAGTTCTGAGCACCTGGCATGCTGTGGACCTCACGGGTCCTCAGCCACGTCTTCCCTCCCTGAAGCCTTCATCATGGAAAAGGCCTGATGGGGAGACCAGGCGATGGGAGGTGGGGGGGGGGGTTCCAAGACTAGAGTCCAGGTGCAGGATCTGGCTTACTGATCTGTGGACACACGTGGCTCTTTGTGGGACAAGGCTCGGCACACAATCGCAATGAGTACCAACCTGTACCCCGTTTACAGTCCACTGTGCACCCCAAGGCCCAAGCAGCACCTCTGACTGAGTCTGACTTACAATGAGGCCAAAGTGGACCCTCCCCCCTTAACCAGTGACATAACCAACCACTGTGCTGACAGCGTTTATGAGGCAGGTCACACCCCTCGTGCTGAGTACAGTGCGTCACAAAGCATGGAGAGTGCTCGATGAAATTAACCATCATGCCGCTTGTCAGCTCCATCACCACACTTTCCTGCAGCCCCCAAAGAAAGCATGGCTTTAACATAACTAGAACACTGAGTCCCAAGCAGGGCCACTATAAGGAAGGCTGGGGTGGCCTGATAAAGGCATCACCCCTCTTTCCAGAAGGGACGCTGTGATGGCCACTCAACCAGTTGCTGGGGTCTTTTCCACTAGCAAAGTCGTTAGCGCTCTCCCCCTGGGGGGCCATTTTATCAGGCCGCTAAGGGAAGGGGAAGTAAACCGGGGTCCACGGAAAGGAACTGCAAGGGCATGGTGACATCAGCCGTGGGAAGGGAGAGAAAGCAAGGCCACCCGCTCCAACAAGCAGAAGCCGCAAGGCTGCAGGTCCATCTTCCAGCCCTGAGCACCGCTGCAACTGTGCTCAGCAACCAGGCATCAGTGGGGCCTCAGAAGGGCTCAGGTAACCATGGGAACACAGACAGAGCTCCAGCCAGTGGTGTTCAGGGAGGGCAGGCCGGGAAGCCTCGAGTCTGGGAGTCCTGCAGGCCTGGGTGTAGCATGACCACTGTTCTGCTGTTGGTCGGTTACCTAAGCACACTCAGTTTTCTTACCTACAAAAATAACGGGGG